GTTGTATCGGTCTTGCCTCTATATTTATATTTCATATTCGTTATTTTGGGCCGATCAGATCATCGCTGATCCAACGTACAAGAGTGGGATTATTGTCCACGGTGGCCTGCTGAACATTTCCCAAAAACAGAGACCTTAAGAAACCACCACGGCGACGCCAAGGAAGACTTCGATTAAAAAATGAATTTCTACTCTTAGTTAGAATTTAAAAAATGGCTGAAGGAGCTTACTGTCTCATATACCGCCACAGCTCAACTTCCGCGTGACGTATAAAGTAGCAGTTGAGTTCCAAATGGAAATTAAAATATTTTGCCGTCGCCGTTTCGGTTCGCAGAGGACGCAAATTTTGGCGATTTCATGTTGTTGTTTTGCATAGGGCGGCTATGAAATGTACAAAGTTTAAAAACGCACGTGCTGAGCTACTGTTCTTCCAATTAGATCTCTTGTTTTCCACGTCCTCGTTGCTGTCGCCGTCATGGTTTCTTAAGGCCCCTAACGTCTGTATCTTAAGGTCTCTATTGTTAAAGAAGCACGAGATCGTTTACCTAACCGGTCACGTTTAATTTTGTGTCAGAGTCGACCTTAGGGGGAGAGGGGCGGGAATGGGCGAGAAGAATAATATCCACTCCTCCACCCCGGCCTTTCTCCTTACTTTTGACTGTCAGTCACCCCCTTAGTACAAATTTGTTTCTCTCCCTAGCCATCCGCTCCCCTTAAAATCAAAGATGGCGGCCATATTTTTCTGAGAAAATATTGAGCACTCGCTCACCCAAATTACGCCTGCTCTACAGGCAATTTTTTCGTTGAAATATTTTTGACTCGTGCGACGGATGAGGGACTGTCTGTACTCTGAAAACGATGAAGATACCGGGTTGGAACCGGAATTGCGCAACTGGCGTAATGACGTCAAATAACCCTTTTTGGTAAGCTTATAGTTGACAACAAAGGCGGCCCAAGTGATTCCGGGGTCTAAAGGTCATTAACGGGAATACCCAAGCGTAAACGTGGTCCGTTAAAAAATGGAAAAATCATAAAAGAATTTCAGAAAAAAATGAAAAGGGTAATGAAAGTTAGGAATATATAGTATGAAGTCTCCTTACCTTTTTTCCGTAGCTGCTTTGTCGCCAAAGGTCCTTTTAACGCTGTTTTAGCAACTTTCTTTGTAACGTGTGTGGTGCTACCAGTCTGGTAGCACCAAAACAGCGTTGAAAGGACCATTGGCAACAAAGTGGAAAAAAGATAAGGAGATTTTATACGTTATATTCCTCGCTTTTATTGTTATTTTTGATTTTTCTGATTTTTTTTTATAATTTTGCCTTTTTTCGACGGCCCACGCTTATGCTTAAAATCGGGTAAGGACAAAACATGGAACCCTGGTCCATGGACCCCTTTTCGTGGACCCCATATAAAAATAGGATATATTTTGTTTCGCAAGTACTAATACAATTTGGATCATACCGGCTGCATCCGATCCGACAATATAACCACAATGAATTCCTCTGCGTACGCTTTGTACATGAACGTTTTTCGCTAATGAAAGCGAATCAAGAACAGTTTTGAAGAAAGCTTTCGTCCTGAAATATTTCTTGCTCCCTTCATCTTCCTCCTCATTGAAAAGTTCCATGTAACATGAGATCTCTTCACGCAGGGCCAAATTTGCATATTCACTTTGAAATCTGATCCGATTTGCACACTTGCGTGAAGATTTAGCGATTTTTGTCTTTCATCTTGATTTTAGAGTAAAAACTTAATATGCACCTATGATTTTCTCATTGAAAATAAGTTGTTTGATTAAGCTTTAGTTTCTTAGATTCTTTGTTGTTTTTTGGTTGCAAAAATAGAGTAGCGTGTGAACGAAATGACTCGAATTTCTGGCACGAAAATCATGCGTCGTCTTCGCTGTGGGAAAGACGGTATTTGGTTTTATCGGATCGGATGTAGCCGGTATGATCCAAATTGTAGTAAGTACTTGCAAAGCAAATAAAAACTTGCGAAACAAAAAATATCATATTTTTATATGGGGTCCACGAAAAGGGGTCCATGGACCGGGTTCAAAGTGGGGGTCCACGGACCATGGGTCTATCTTGTGTCCTTACCCCTTAAAATCAGGTGTTCCCGTGAATGACATTTAGACCCCCAAATCATACACAGTACGCTTGTGCCGCCCGTGGCGACAACTGAAGTTTGTTTACGAACACAAAAACCTTTCAGTTGGTGAATGCTTGAATCGTATTTAGTCGTTGCTAACTAACTGTCCATCATGTGCCGTGAAGAGTTTCGTTTGTCTCAAGTCAAATTACATCATTCTGACGCCAAAGATTTCATCGGATCACTGGTGAGTACAGATTTAAGTTATTTCATAGATACTGAAGTTGTAAGAATATGAATAAATAACCAGCGAGGAAGTGTCAAAGGGTTGACTTAAGGTTTCAGCTGACAATCATTGACCTTTAACTTTCGTATTTGCCATATTATAAATTTCCATCAGCGAGATTTATTTGTGTTAATGCCATCTTCTTCCACTCAGTGTCCGTCTTCCCACAGCAGTTGATATTCGTATTGTTTTCGTGTGTGCA